AGTAAAGAAAAAAGAAGAGAAAAAGCTAACGATGCAACTTAAAAAAAAAAGGGAAACTTAAATAGCTTATCAAATTAATTCCATTCTTATAGATTTGTGTGGAGACGACAGAGTGAACCAATCCTCTGTAGGAGGGAACCGTTGGAGCGCGTTGGTGAGTGAATGAGATTAAATTCAGTAAATTATTAAATTCAAAAAGCTAATTACAGCAACCGAGGTGACAGCAGTGGGCTGCTAGACGTTAGATCCCAGGAGTTAACATCTCAAACTACCAGTTAACGGTGGTAGGGCATATAGGAGTTAACGGCTCAAACCGCCAGTTAACGGCGGTAGGGCATATGGGATTCCCAGGAGTTAACGGCTCAAACCGCCAGTTAATGGTGGTACGGCCTAGATGTACAAGGTCCTCAGGGGCGTTATAGCTAACGCCATAGAATTAGCAATGCGTCCCTTAACCAAACATTTAATAATAAAAAAAATAGATAAATAAAAATAAATAAAAGCTAACTGATTAGGGAGGAATTATTTTACAAAGGTGGACCAAAGGACCAGAATTTATATTTTGTTTAATTTTGTTATAGAAAATTTTATTTATTTATTTATTTGTTTATTTATTTATTTATTTATTTATTTATTGTGTTACAGATATACAAGGTGTCACAATGCTGTATAGAAACACAACTAAATGTATCCTTGTTGTCATGAATGTATTTCTTGTCGAATAGTGTAGAGTAATAGAATCTAACTGAGCCTATTGAGCTGAACAATTGTTGTCATATGTAATTATATTTCCAGAGCTACTGAGAATTATTTTAATAGACAATCAAATTGATGTTATGTTAGTTGAACTGTGAACCCAAACATGATTGGCTATGCCAATAGAGTGAAGCATTTGTTTAAGTCTGTAAGACTTTATGCTGTGATGTGACGAGAAGGGTCGATGCCAACTCGCTAACAGTCCTGTTGTTTACAGGCTGGGTTTTTTTTTTTTCCTTGGGTTTGATCCCGACTCCTATGATCACTCACTTGGAACGAGAACTGGATTTCTTCCTGACGAGGGAGATGGCGAGCCTTAACCACTGAACGAACCAGGACATCTCAAGTAACTGAAGAGCAGACTGCTCTCTTCAGTGAACAATCTCAACGGTGTGGTAGGAAAAAATCGCACCACCGGACTCTGACTTTCACCCCAAGCGTGGGGATTTGACTTGACGCCGGCTGACTTGTGACTCATATGATCAAATCTCATACCGACCATTTTACTATTGTCGATTGTTTTCATCTGTTTTTGTGTGTTATCTTTATGTGTTATATTTCCCATTATTATTAAAATTTAGTATATAAACCGTTTCATGCTATACCCGTGACTCCAGTCATTCTTAAACAACCTCCAATTCTCCCCGAACCTAATTATTGGCCCATTTGTTTATTTTTTCTTTTAATTATCTTATTGTATCCTGTAATCCGGTTACAAAGCCATTTAGTCCTAATTGTCTCTTTTTACTTTTAAATGACTCATTTTGAAGTATTTTGTGTTTTGAAGCTGATTTATTTATTTTTCTGTTTGACTTTAAAAAAGCAGCTGATCTCCGGCCTGCTGGTTCTGTGACTCATGGATTATTCTGAATCGTTCCTGTTTTCGGTTCCCTCTCTGAGACGGCGAAGTTTCCCCCCGGATTGATGGGAATAATTGGGGAACGGTGCATTTTAATGAGCGCTGAACGGGAGCAGCTAGATCAGAGCAAACCGCCTCGCTGCCAAACGCTCCGATGAAAGGACGTCGGGTCGCCCAGAGAAGTCGTAGAGGGTCTAAGTTATGAAATCCAGATGGAATGAGCGGTTTTTTTCCTGCAGACGCGAACCACAGCAGATATGAGTGATTGATTCTTACTGTTTGGTGTTGGGGGAGGCGACAAGCCTGCTTAATTATTAGGTTCAGAATTAGGGCATGCTCGGTCCGCACGTGCTCGCCGCAGCTCTGCAGCTACAAAAGGCAATTATGTCATGCAGCACTTAATGATGGCGTGATGGAGGAGATCGATGGGAGGCTGCAGCGAGGGCACGCGATGAGGCAACTGCCAGATACTGTTGAATACATCAAACACACCCCAACTGAAGGCCGCGATCCATACGCAGCGTCGATATCTCTGCTTTGGTCTCGGCCTCCAGGAAGAATGGATCTCACACAAAACAAATGTACTGGAAGTGTGAGCAAGCGCACGCTGAAATCTAATAACTCCTGTCCGTCTTCTGGCTGACGGAGCGAAAGAAAAGAGACAGTTCCTCTCTTTTCTTTGAGTGCTCTTTTAGTTGTCCAGCCTCTTTGGTTAAAACCAGGCCAGTTTCAGCTTTATTAACAAACATCCAGCAGACTAAAGTTTAATATTCTTTCTAAACGCTGCTAAACTCTTCAGTTTTGTGAGTTTAGATCAGAGATAAAACTCTCCTCTGGTCTTTAGCTCCGAGTCTGATCAGCAGAAATGAGCCACATTAAGTAAAAGTGAAGCCGAGACCAATTCGGGTTTTAATGCAGCAAAACGGTCCGAAAATAAAAATCGATCGGTGTTATTCTGTCAGCCACTCCGCTGACTCGCTCACTTGACCGCTAACATAAAGGGTTTTATACTTTCAGCTGATCTGTTGGAGCTTTATTTAACTGTTAAAGATGTTTATCCACCTTAAGAGCCCTCAGATAAACCCTCGACTCAATTTTTGACATTTTTTGTTAAAATGTGCTGAGGGAGTTGAACTTACCGTTTTTATTTATTTTATTAAAACGATTTAATCCTGCAGAGCCTAGTGGCTCTTAGAGCATTACTCATTTACGAAGGACTGACAGCGAGACTGTTTCTGGTGGCCTGGCTGCTGAACTGGCCCTCTCGATGATCGCTGATAGCCAGAGGTAACTATCAGAGGTGACAACAGCTGCAGTTCCCCCCTTATCCACTAGGTGCTGGCTCCAGACAGGAGCAGATCCTCGTTCACTCCGATGTTAAAAACACCAACATGTTTACAGCCTGGTTCAAAAAGCCATTCTAGGTTAAATAGATCTAGTTTACAGTCATGACAACTCTGAGGGGGGTGAATGTTTTTGTAACTGAAGCTTGATATTATGAATAATTAGGGGTGTGTCCATTTGATTCACAGGTAGTGCCCCTGCTTGCTCCAGGGTTAACAGAGTTAACCGTTTAAGGGCTTCAATAACCGGTTTAACAACAAACGTGCCTCCCTTCTGCTAACCAGAGCTAACAGCTAACCACAGTTAACAGCTACTCGGAGATAACAGCTAACCACAGTTAACAGCTACTCGGAGCTAACAGCTAACCACAGTTAACAGCTAACCAGCGCTAACAGCTAACAAGAACTAACAGCTACTCAGACCAAACAGCACACCAGAGCTAACAGCTACTCAGAGCTAACAGCTACTTAGAGCTAACAACTAGCCAGAGCTAACAGCTACTCAGCGCTAACAGGTAACCAGCACTAAAAAGAGCTAACACTATGCAGAGCTAATCGCTAACCAGCGCTAACAGCTACTCAGCGCTAACTGCTAACCAGTGCTAACGGCTAACCAATGCTAACTAGTGCTAACAGCTACCCAGAGCTAACTGCTACTCATAGCTAACCGCTAACCAGCGCTAACAGCTAACCAACGCTAACCAGAGCTAACAGCTACTCAGAGCTAACTGCTAACCAGAGCTAACAGCTACTCAGAGCTAACCGCTAACCAGAGCTAATCGCTAACCAGCGGCAGACATTTATTTACATCTTTACTGATGTTTTTACGTTTTCTGAAGGAAACCCTTTTCTGTTGCATCAATGACTTTGATGGCTTTTAAATCCTAATAGTTGCAGCTTCTACCAACCTCCTACTTATCAGATACAAGTCAACAGTGTTTGGTCTGTTTATATTTTTATGTTTATGCATCAGCTGTAAATCACACATCCTTCGGCTTTGATCCCACACAATATGAGACGGATAAGAAGCTGATCTTCAGGATTGGCTTTGTTTCTGACTGAGTTCACATGTTCAGGTTGAATTTCTGAATGCAAACAGGAAACAGAAACCTCTGATAACGATGCTGTTAAAGGAGATAAACAGAGATCTAACAAAGGCAGCCTAACGCGATCCCTGCATGGGATTTCAGACCGCATGCCAGCGAGTAAACGGCACCGAACATCACGCTGTGAACATCCAGGAATTACCGTCGTAAACACAGACTGTCCTCAGAAGCAAACATCTCCTCCAGTTTGGTGTCATTAAATGCTGTTTATAACGATTAGAGATCAGGAGTTCATCAGCTGTTCGGCTTCAGAAGAGTTTAATCCCAGCTCATTTAGAGCAAAGCCATTTGTTAAACTTCTCAGAGAAAAGTATCTCGACTTTTACTTTTAACGTTAAAAACACGAAGAGCTGCAAAAACAAAACGCCTCCATCTGATTTAAATATTCCAGGGCGATGCAGGACGAAGCCAAGCTGCTGTTCAGTTAAACTCCTCTCCGCCGATGTGTGGAAAAGTACTTAATACAGTACTCGGAGCGTTTCCCTGCGCTCAGCTGTTCTGCAAACAGCAGCGTGGTTGTTGAGGTGTGTTTGCAGCAGTAATAGAGGAGCTGCTGAGAGAGTAAACAAGCACAGAAATCTCACAGATCAGAAGTTTAATATCCGATCTGTGTTTGCTGTTCGGTTTGGGCGTCGAGGATTCAGTGTCTACGCAGCAGCAACAATCCGCGGCCTTGTGTACACACTTCATGCTCTGGAGTTGTTTTGCAGCCTGTGTAGCAGAAAAAGGGGAACTTATTTGCTCAATTAGACGCTCCTGAGCCACGCGGCTCACGTTAGATAAATCTCCTCCAGACGCAGGAGATGAGAGGGTTTCCGGGCTGTTTTCGTCTTGCTGCCGTCTGCAGGGGGTCCTCTGAGAAAGCCCGAGGGCCGTAAACGCCTGACAGACAGAACTGAGGGGGGAAAGCGCCCATCTCTGAAAGCTTCCACCCACCTTCCTGAGAAGGATGACACCCTCCTGCGTGCTCCGGTTGGTAGTGACGTCGAACATCCCGGGGCCATCGCTCCCGATGATCCTGTAGTCCATCTCAGCGTTCGGGCCGATGTCAGCGTCCATGGCCCGGATCGCCCCCACGGAGGAACCCAGCTCGTTGGACTCCGGCACTCTGAACTCGTACAGGGCTGCAGGAAGAGAATCAGAGCGTTCGGGTTCAGCCAGGTGTGTGTGTGCGTGGCCATGACAACCGATGTTCAGTGTCTCCTTCCTTCTCCATCAGGAGGGTCGGAGATCATTTTAATAATTCTCTAATCTGGCAGCGAACGGATCGAGCTCTACATAAATAAAGATGCTGAAGGAAACGTTCCTGTTTGACCTACAGAACCGCAGTAAGTGGGTGGGTCAGGGAGCAGGGGGCGAGAGTCACAGCCAATCAGAGCTCAGGGGGAGGAGTCTGCGGAGATTTAAAGCAGAAACACTTGAGCCGCATCGACTCACGCATCAGGACGCTACAGCAGGTCAGGGCCAATTTGCTGCACATAAATGTCTCTTGGTGCTTCTTTAATTTTATTCTGCCGGATGAGTTCCTGGTTGGGGGGGGGGGGGGGGGGGGGATTGATGGCTGCCTGGCGGCGGCGGCTGCATCCCGTATGTTTAAATAAATAAGTGTAGGGCGGCTGTGATCTACGCACACACAGCTGGAGGAGACAAACAGCACTGACACTCCAATAAAGCATGCTGACAGCGTTTGGGCAACGCCTGAGTCTGCAGGTCACACACACACACACACACACACACACACACTCTGAAAGCAACGCACCAAGAGAAGGTTTCCCCGAGGCTAACAGGTATTTAGCATCGGCTGGAGAAGAAGAGGCATCACTTCAGCACTTCCTGACACCCCGCCTCCTTTGGGTATCCTCTTACAATCTCCCTCCCCCCTCCTCCCCCTCTCAGCTGAGATGACAGGACGCGCCGCCCACGCTGTGCCGGTGGTGATAAAAGGGAGGCGGCGGTGGGATCTCTGCGGCCGCGTGTTTGGCTCTGCGTCGCCCCGCCGTGCCGTCCGCCGTTTCTGAGGGGGGAGACTCGGTAATCTGTCAACCCAATCTGGCCTGACTCGGCCGTCCACACAGGAGGGAGGAAGGGAAAGCGAGTCAGGACGGATAAAGATGGATGACCAAATGCACCGAGGACAGTTTGAGCTCTAAATTGAGAACAGTGGTTTAATGGAGGCCGACTTAAGAGAGAGGAAGAGTGGAGCAGATAAAACCCACTCCTCGTTTAACGGGGATTACGGCTCTGATCTGATGCTCGGTGCAGGACCCCGCGCTCCGTCATATGGCTCCAGATTTAATTATTCTCTGCCTTTAAGAGGTCCGCACGAGCCCAGAGCTCCCTGGAATAATCCACGCTCATGCGGAAACTGACACCAGATTGGGGGGGGGGGGGGTGCCGCCTGCCTGGCACCGGCCGAGAGCCCTGCCGGTTCTGGTCCAGAAGGCCCGTACTCACTCTTAGTGAAGCGCGGCGGGTTGTCGTTGACGTCCGACAGCGTGATGCTGACCGTGGTGGTTCCGGAGAGCCCGCCCATCTGTCCGGCCATGTCTTTAGCCTGGATCACCACCTGGTAGTGCTCCTTCACCTCCCGGTCCATGCCGGGCAGCGCCGTCTTTATCAGGCCTGGTGCAGAAAAAACAAACAAAGATGTGAGTTTGTTTTGGTTTTGTGCTGATTTATGAGATTTCACTCTAAAAGACAGAAAACCAGTCAGAAGGAACGAAGGCGGACTGCTGTGCCGCACACACACACACACACACACACACACACACACACATTTACTTTTACTGCTTTTTGGATTTTGTCCTTTACGACTAAACTTTATGACTTTTTAACTTAATTTTACTTACCTTCCTTATCTCCAAAACGTCGTTGGATTAATATGTGAAAACTTTTTATAATTATTAAATTTTAAACTGAAAACTTTTCCTTTAAATAAAATATAGTAACTTTTTAAAACTTTGATTTTATTTTTAAACTTTTTACATTTTAAAATGTTTTTAATTTTACATTTGTTAAAAAAAACCTTTTCTTTTAGTTTCCAGCTGTAAGTCGAGCTCTCGCGGCGTGCAGCTTAAAGCTGGGGAAAGGTCATGCCAACAGCTCGTCTATCAGACTTTGACGGCTGCACACGAGCAGAACATCTGAATTTTATCCTATTCTTATGGACACTTGTAGCCCTAATTACAACCAAACCTCATCCCACCTGATCGTTCAGTTTATTTAACTTATGTATCGTCAGATCTGCGCACACTAACCCTCACCCTCGACTCAAGCAGGAGAAACGAGACTTTTTTTGGTTTTTGAAGGTGTTTGGTTTGAAATCTCATCACTGACTCACCCACAAGGACCAACAGGTGAACCTCACTCCATCAGGGTGAGAAGATTTACAACCGGATGGACAAAAATGCTCCAAAGACCAGTTTCTAAAGGGGGCAACCAAACCAAATCAAACACCAGACCTCCAGGATCTGCATTTTTAACTGATTTCAGAGTTTTTATCTGAAAACTGAACCCAATATCTGCTGCGTCGTATTGGATTTGTCAGAAAACACCAGAACAGGACCGGCATCCTTTGTACCCGTCTGGCAGCTTCAGTCATCAATCTGAACTTCAGGTAATCTAGCAACCATATGGTGGATGGTGACTTTCTAAACTAAGATCCCGGTTTCGTGTTGACTCGTGCATCTGTTCGTCAGGAAGGAGAGAGGTCAGGTTTGTGCCTTGGAAGCAAATCCAGCTGCACGTTTTGGTTTCTGCTTGTAAAGAAGCGATTCCTCGTTCCAAAAATCCCTCAGCACACTTCTTTAATTCTCTAAGTGTAGCTTCCAAAGGCTTCCAGGATCGTTTATCTTCTCTTTGGTGTGAAAACCCGGGCCTCGCGGGCGCCCACTCCTCGACACGTCTCTGGTTCAGAGCGCGGCGGCTTTTGGCAGCAGATTCTAAAGGTGAGCCCCATCTCCCGTCAGGTCCTCGATCCCGTCTGCAGCTCTAATTTGGGACGGTCGGAGCACGAGTCGAGGAGAAAATCCCACCACAAATAAAGCAAAACTTTCTACTGCGGCTTAAATAAGTGACCGGTTTCCTTCTGAGGTGGAGGCAGATCAAACCGGCTCCTTTCTTCTCCTCAAGCTCAACACGGAGCCGAGAAGATAAAACCTTCTATTCTTCTCTCCTCTAACTATTTATCCGCGATCGTTCAGGTTGTGTTCCAGCCAAGGAGAGCAGCACGTTGCCGGGGTCTACCTTTGTTATTCCTTAATGACTACAATGCCCAGAGAAGAGGAGGAGTGGGAACAAATCCTGCTCATAATACGATGTCCAGGCCCGTCTTTGTGTAAGAGGGGATGTCAGCTTACATACCGCATGTGGGATAAACCATATTACTGTTAATCCCCTCACTAATCTGCAAATGGCTTTTTTTTTTTACTCTTTTGTTTAGACACGAGTGGGATGTGTTCCAAAGCGCGCTGCAATGATTAAAAGTAGATCTTAAGGACTGGTGATTTGCCACTCTCTCGATTACAAATCCACCCGAACACAGAAGACGCAGGCGGGTTTGGGGGAAATTAGCTTGGTTCCAGGAGGTTATCTTCTGATGAATTGTTCTAATTTGCAGCAGCAGCTTCGGCTCGCCTCCTCGATGTTTCTGTTTCCCACAATGGCCGCCTCCAGAAGGGGAGTTGTTGTGTTAAGCTGCAGGTCCCAGGCGGAGGTGGAGGGGGCAGCCGCTGGAGCGCTGTTGGAGCGGGCCGAGCCGTGCACATTAGTCAAAGAGCTGCACCGTCGTGGCTGTGCTTAATGCTGATCTACCGGGGCTCAGGCAGGCACCGTCTTTATTTAAGTGACTTTTTTTTGTCTCGGATTAAAACTAAATGTAGGTTTAAAAAATGCACAAAAAGTTAATCCTAAAATATATAAAGCAGCTGGATTTTTAAAATCAAGTCTTGAGGACATTTTGGTTTCTATCAGTTCAAGTCAAAAGTACTGAGCTTCAACAGGTCAGAGCATACTAAAGTAACTAAAAGTAATACATTGGTGCTTTTCTGTTTAAACTAGCTGATGAGAAGTTAAAGGCTTAAAATCTTTATCATAAAGTGACCAGCAGTTTTATTCACTTTTTCAGTACCTTCCAGAATGAGCCATTTCAGGGTTCTGTCACTTTAAGAAAACAAGCTGTTGCTGGCCACACCCATTCCCTTATTGGCTGGCATAAGCTGAGAAGCTCTGATATGCAGGAGAGGCTTGTGGGAGAGGTGGCTTTATGCTAATTTACCCATTTGTCAACAACAACAAAGTTTTCTATCCAAGCAACACAATTAACATAAATTACAACCAGAAAAAGGAATTTAGCCTACCCTATTTTCCATCTAAATCAAATAACCTATAAAACATTTTCGATATTTACACATACTTTCATAATCATTAAATATTTGACACCTAACATATGCATAACATATTTGTGACATCACAATCGGGGACCTTTTGAAACGGCTTGTTTTAGGCACGTATTTTCTAAAACCAGACATAGACAGAAAACAAATTTTTGCATTTGGAGCTCTTATAGAGCCCGACAAGTCAGCACCAAGGGCTGCAAAAAGTCAGTTTTCTATATCGTGTCCACTTTTACAGTCAGGAAAGCAAAAACATGCTTTTTTTCTAAACCTACTGTAACCACGAGGCCCTGGATGACTGACACCCTTCACCAACAATAACAAACTCCAATGACTTGATCAAGACCATTTTCAAACGATTACAGGACGGTTTGGCTGCCAGGAAGTAAAACACAGAAATGAGGACTGGGTCACAACCGCGTCACTAGAAAAGGGCAAGAATTCTTTCAGAAATCTTTTTTTTTTTTCCAGGACGCGTGACGGCGTTTCTGTGTGGAATCTAATCCAAACAATAACTTTTCATGAAAAGCACAAAAGTGCGGGTGTCATTTCACTCGGACAAATGTTTAATATTTAAACTGAATCTAGACCATCTCAAACCCATTTTCTTACCACCACCGCCTTCGTGTTTTACTAAAAACAAGCCGACTTCAGGAGGAGCACAAAGCAGGCTGAACACTGACCGGTTTCTGGGTCCACAGAGAAGTACGGCTGGCCCTCCAGGATGCTGTAGACCACCCTGGCGCTGTTTCCGTATGTGGCGTCGTCGGCGTCTATGGCCGTCACCTGGATCACAGACGTCCCTGTGGTGGGGGAGGACAGATGAGGAAGATCGATGATGATGATTCAGATCAACTCCTCAATGCTGCTGAAAAATTGCCCACTGAGTAATTGGTTAAGCTGATGCCCCTTTCTGATGAGGTGTCCGATGCTCTTCTAATCATCCTGGAGCAGAAAGTGACTGATCATTTCTGTCTCTTTGCATTACTCAAAGCAATCTTTTATTCCGCCGCCACTTATATCCTCACACATGATTGATTTCCACAGGTAATCGATAAGTCCTAATGTATTTTTCTAAGTATATCTCTCTTAGCCATGAGTGCTGGCTCCCTGCAAACCCCACGCAGCCCATTAGCGTTTCCGTGGATCTCCAGTGTCGGAGAAGCCAAATATCTGATACCAGGACTGATCCATTTTTCTCTCCCAGAAAACCCCGATTCACTGGAACAAAGGGAAGCGGTTAGCCAAGTGCTACCTCCCAAATGGCGCCTTGCAGGGCCAAGTGTTGCCTCATTACATGCGAAGGAAAATTAATTGAGTAGAAATATTTAATGACAAAAGTGGTATAAATATAGAACGGTGCAACACGACGGGATAACGACCTGATGAGACTCGTCTAATTTGGTGTCAGCCGATTTCTGTAAGACAGGGAGATGACTTTAAGATCGTTTGACGAAGCACCTGTCATGTTTAGCAAGTCAATTTTCAAGTCTTCAAGGAGTAAATCAAGTTCCAAGTTGTTGAGAGCCAAGTTCAAGTCACATTTTTGAGTACAAGTACATTCTAATGTCAGCCCTTTGGTCTTTGAGGAGAAAATTTAGGTCTCAAGTCTGTGATAAAAGAATCTGACTATTTTGATAGCCACGTCCAAGTCAATTCCCAAGTTTTTAAAGAGCCCATCTAAGCGGGGTCTTTAGTCTTTTAGGAGCAAGTCAAGGTTAAGGCTCACGACAGTTATAAGCCAAATCCCAAATCTTTGAGGGACAAGTGAAGCGTTTAGTCTAACAGACAAGTCCAAGTCAAGTCTGTAGCTTTTGAGAGCCAAGACAAAACCAACGGAGTACGTAAGGGACAGGTCCGTGCCAAATCCTGGGTTTTTCAGAGAAACACGTCTAAATCAAATATGTGTTCTTTGAAGGGCAGGGGCAAGACCTGTGTGGGACAAGTCCAAGTCAAATCTCATATATTTGAGGAACAAGTCAAATTTCAAGGTAAACTATTTCAGTTCCTAGTTTGAGAGAAAAGTCCAAGTTAATTCCTACGTTTTTGAGGTTTAGTCCAAGTCAAACCTTAAACCTTTGTGGGACAAGTCCAGGTTAACCTGAGACCCTGCGTGTACATATGAAGGCATTGGCTCTTCTACTTAGACCATTACTGATTATTTAGAGACACTTGATGAAGACATGATTTAAAATGTTATCCTTTTATTTCTATTTTTTAGGAAGTTTGCCAATATTCTGATTTGATTTTACATCACACCAAATACAAGTCCGAGTCTCAGGAGGTTAAATCTCTAACCTTTGAGGGTCAAGTACAATTTCAAGTCACCCATGTAGTCTTTGCGAGGCAAGTCCGAGGGAAGCCTCAGATTCGAGTCCCATCCCAGAGACGAAGACCACGGAGGTCTGACTTGGTTCAAGTGACCGTTTCTGAGAAAGTTCAGCGAACCCTGATCACTAAAACCTCTAACTAGAGAATTAAGAAGCTTTTCTCACTTAGAAAACATCACTGATCCACATCAGCCATCTCATTGCCGACTTTAAGCTTCTCAGAAGAGCTGACAAAAACAAGTCAGGACCGATCAGGGCACTTTTTCTGTCTCAAACGACCTCCCCCCACCCCCCTAATCACTCAGCTGTCAGAGTCGTCGCTGACTGAGGGACCGTACGGCCGTGTCAAAGCTCTTGGATAAAACTGAAAGTGTGTGTCACATTTAAAGGAGCAGTCTCGACGCAGTCACTCGTGAACACATGCTCTGCCAAGCGGTGACATCACACCTCGCCTGTTGCCATGGGCACCCATGCTGCCCTTAGATAAGTGCTGGCCTTCTTTCTCTCGGGGTTGCTGAACCGAGTGACAACTCTGTCACACGTCTGACCAGAAGCATGGCAGCAGCAGCGGAGCCGAGGGCTCGGCCCACGTTTTCATGCGAGTATCGATTAGGAGCCTTTTTATGTTTCTATTCACGAGGCCGGTGTGCTTGTCCGGGCTAAGAGCGCACGCCGGATTAAAGTTTAATTTGGTGCCGAATGGCAGAAACACATCATGACACAAAAACAGCAAATGATGCAGTTTGAGAGACTGCAGGACCAGAATCTACAATTATCCACTGTGATGACAGCCGAGTGCTGAAACTTTAATAAACTACTGTTTGTTCTGGTTTCACCTAAAACCCGGCCGTCAGGTCCAGTAAGACCGCCTGGATCCTGTTTACACCCCCGCCTGACTAGATTCACCTGTTTTATACTAAACTCACTACTGCTGCTTTCCCTCAAATACACCCTAAAATAAACAGTCAGTAAATAATACATGTACAGATTTTTTACCTTTTGTTTTATCAAAAATAAAACGTTTTTAAACCCAATCTCCGACCTTTAACACCCCCTCCCTAAACAGCACCACCAGTAATCCGACCACATCCATGTTTAAGTCTTTAAACACGATCCTGTACGTCTGTTTATTTGTTTATTTAAGGATCCCCGTCAGCATGGACGTAATTTTCAGTTTAAAAGTGGGGGGGACACGGGGGGGGGGGGGGGGGGGGCTATCTTTACAGTATGTTCTAATGGGAAACTGGCTTCAACACAAACGGTTGTTTTCCGCTTGGTCCTAGAGCTCAACCAGTGTCAATTAAATATAGTGTAATATTGTTTTTGGATGGTAAAAAGTGCAGGGGTCAAAACTTGACTTTGGAAAAAGTGGGGGGGACATGTCCCCCCTGTCCCCCCCCCCAAAATTACGTCCATGCCCGTCAGTCTTCACCATAGAGAAGACTATTCTTCCTGGGGTCCGCGTCATTAAAAAACATTTACAATAGTACGTATGCGGTGTAAGAAAAAGAACATACCCAAGATGAAAATCATTCAAATAAGAAAATATACCCCCCCCCCCCCCCCAACAGGCTAGTTAATAACTATAGAAAAGTAATTAAAAACCCACATCAGTCATTTAGTTTTAAATTGTTATGTATGACCAAAGTCTTAAGAATTTTTTGAATCTGCCATGATGATTTATTAACGCCACTCCTGGAGGCGGGATGTTCCAATATGAAACAGCTCTTGAGGGCATTAGGTTTTGGCAATGGTTTGGTAAAGGTTACTTGGGAGGCTTTCCTTGTGTTAAAACCACATCTGTCTGCTAAGCCGGCCAACATACTAGGTTCTCCTTGAAAATCCTGAGTAAACATGACATAAAAAACTCAAAACATTATTACCTCGACATAATCACGATAAGGAAAGTTCTGATTTTTACTTCCATAAATTAAAAAAGGGGATTTTCCAGACTAACTTGCAATTAAACTCTGAATTTCCGTGGATAGTCCTTTGAGACGGAGCTGGTGAACTGCATCATGGGTGATGTAGTTCTTTCACAACACAAATAACCCTCAGCTAAAAGGAACGACGGTGCATTTTTCTCCCAAATAAAATATAAAAACACCAGAAGAAGTGTCGGCGTGAACATCACCGCAGACCCGAAACAGAAACAAAAAATTCATTCTCACAAATGTCAAGAACCTGTTAAAATCCAGTCAAGAGGCACGCGGTTACCGTGGCAACCCAAATGAAACTAATGATCCACTGGCTGCAGGTTGAACATTTCTCTCGGACATAGGAATGATCTTTTATCTCAGCTTAGATGATTATAAAGTTGATGCTGAAAGTTTTTAGGAAACCCTCCCAACATCAGGACCAGTGTCTTAGAACATCTGCCCACTTAAATAATCTGTTTTATTGAGTGTAAATGTGTTGTGGGTCCGGAACGTACCGACGTCGGACATCTCGGGTACAGAGGCCATGTACGGGTCCTTGGTGAAGCGCGGCTCGTTGTCGTTGATGTCGTGGATCTTGATGATGAACTCTGACTCGCCCTCCAGCGCCTCGTTGGTGAATTGGTTGACGGCTTTGGCGTGGAGGATGTAGTAGGCCTTCTCCTCCCTGTCCAGCCTCTTGGTGGCGTGGATGTCCCCGGACTTCTCGTCAATCTTGAACAGCGTTCCCGCTCCTTCTCCAGTGAGGACGTACCTCACGCTGCCGTCTCCTCGGTCCCCATCCGAGTGGAGCTGTAAAACAAAGATTGACACGATCATAACCCTGGCACAAGTCCCACTCTGCTCCTTTTTATTGCTTTATAGGAGCTTTGACGTTAGCTTAATTTGCGCCTCTGAAGAGCGCGCTGCAGTCAGACGCTCTCAAGGAAAACAACATCATGAGCAGGAATGATGTCTCTGAAGAAGAAAAGGGAAGCGTCTCATGGGTTTGACTGACAGAGGATCGCTGACACAAACACGTCCCAGCGACGAACATTTTGTACACAAAAACTGTCAGAAGAGCACTCTTCAAAGCGGACTCACAGTTTTCCACACAGCACACACACATCAGAGATCTGACCAATCTGGGCTTTGGCAAATAAACCCTGACAGCTTTGATCGAGTGTGTTTGGTGTCGTTTAACAGATTCCTATCATCTTTAGTAAACTGTCAGCGACGACACGCGCTCGTGGCCTCACCTTCGCTCTCAGAAAGCTGCCAACGCTCGGCGTATTGTTGCAGGCGTCCTCCTGTCACCCGGCCAAGGTGGCATTTCCACGCCGCTGTAGGGCAGAAGTGGGAAGAGGCCACGGGAGTGAGCGCACGGCAGACCGCCTGCCAGTCCCTCTGATGGATCAGCAACACGAGGCCCCCCCAGACTCAACCGCAGTCTCTCATTATTCTAATTCTGTTTTTCCTTCTTCTGCATGAACACCAGCTTAGGGTGCTCTGACATTTTAATTCCTCCACAAAATCCCCCTCAACATATTTATCTCAGAGCTCATCAGAAGTCCGTTTTCTCCCGTCTCCGCCTCCTTTTATTAACCACGATAAGCGTCATTGCAGGTTGGGGTTAGGGGTTGGTGCTCCTAACCCTAACTTTTTCTGCTCCGGCCATGGCACCCCCCTTATTTTTGAAAGCGTTTCGTGCCAGGTGTCGGGAAGCTTCACTAATTCATGGAGTTTTATCGGGCTGGCACACAAGAGCAGCAGCTCTCTGGATTAGCGTCTTTAACACGGTTTCGTTCGTCTGCTAGCATCCATCTCTCTCTCTCTGTCGGGCCGAGCCAATCCAGTGAGCACTGCACAGTTTCACTATGCTGGGATTAAGATCTCGACTGTTTTCATTCACCCTCTTGAATTCTGGTCAGAACAACCCCTCCGTGGCAGGAGGAAATATTCGGCAGGATTTCATTTGTTTTCTGTGTTCTGCTTTGACTCGGTTGGCTGAAAACAATCCACTTCAGCGTTATTATCTTCCTCCTGCAGTTACAGCAACAACGTCCTTTTCTATGATTGCCTATCAAGCTGCCCATCTCCGTCGGCATGGCCGTTCAGTTAATAACCGTCAGGCTGAGAGGTGAGACAGACGGTATGTCATTTCTATGGAAACAGAGATCTCGAGGCGGTGAAGAGTTCCTCCTCAGACCCGCGGAGCTCCAGCGCCCGCCGCTGTGACCCCGGCCCTCCCAGCTGCCTACCTCCCTGCTTAGAATAAAATCTACCGCTGCCCTTCTACTCAAATAAAAAAAAGCTCTCCTGGAAATCAATGTGGCAGCCCAATGTGCATTCACAATGGCCCTTTGATCAATTTCTATTGAAAATACAATTAAACTGTCACAGGGGGGAAAGAAAGCCACATGGGCCTTCAGTGTGGTCACCAAGAAGCCCTGGAACATCAATAGCTAGCCCTTTCTCCTCTGCCCTCCCATGGTCCCAAATTGTAAAAAAACAATAAAGAAGCAAAATCTGAGAACATGACGCTATAGCCATTAACACGGGGACTTTTGGTCTTTCCAGGGCAGAAAAACACCATCTCATCATGTCACTGTCGATAATAAAAGTGTGAAACTTACAGAGAAACGGCCTTTTCTTTTACTCTCGCCCAACTGAGATAAAAGACTTTCTGGTTTTCAGTGAAGGAAAATCCAAAACTACAGCTTATTTTCCGCTATGGTGTCAAATGAGAATCAGCTGTGAACACGTCTGCTGTCATTAGAGGTTTGAAGCTTCGTCTGAAACGTCTGATTAACACAAAACGTGTCGGTTTTACTTCTAGATTCAGGAATGAACGCTTAGCCTAGTTTAATTAGCCTAGCTTAATTAGCCTAGCCTTACCGAGCTACAGCTGCCCAAGGGCATACCGACAAAACCACAGTCGCCACACATCGGCGCCACCAGCAGGCAGGGAGGATGATAAAGTGTCTTGCCCAGGGACAGAAGATACGGGTTTGAACCAGCGACTCAACCCTTACAAGGCGAACTCCTAACCTAAAACTCCTGCCTTTTCGTCTACGCCCCTCTGGTTGCAAAGACAAAAGTCAACAAAAAACAAGACAACACAAAGCAAACCACCTAATCGTTTTTCTAAAAATAAAACATTTAATTAGTGAACAGTTATTTTTTTGTACTCAAGCACAAAAAACCCTGAGATTCATCAAACTTCTGGTTAGTTTAGTTATCGTAGCTAAATAATGATTTGTAAAATAACAGTTGCTTTATTTAACCCTATGTGACGCAGAAGCTGTTTAAAACTAAATAAAGCATTTAAACAAACCCCTGAACCGTGCAGGGGCGTGACCAGGGAGTGGCCTGGGGTAGCACATGCCACCCTTGGAATCTGATTGGCCGCCCCAGGTGCCACCACACTAATTTACCTTTAAATAGGCTTTTCATTGTCCACAAAAGGCTTGGGGGTAAAACAAAAAAAGCATCACCATTGGTGCCACCCATGCACAAAGTTGTGCCTCACCTGGGCCACCCCATTTTAAAAGATCTGGGCACGCCACTGGAACACATTAGTCCTTACCCTACAGCCACACCGACCTGCAGCAAAGCTTGTACATCTTTGTATTTTTACATTAAAAACCTGGTTTTAATAAATCCGGTTGTTGTTTGGTGTCATTCTTTACCATCAAGGACAGTTACACCAACATTTTAGCGTCTGTCACGTTGGAAATTAGAACACTGGCACACTAAAACATCGTGCTGTTTTGATGCAACAAGCTTCACAGAATCCAATTTGGAGAATAAAGATGTTTGTGCTCCGGAGGATCGACAGGCAGACAGTTTTATTTGTTGTCAATATTGTGGATCTGCAGCCGTGTTTATCACAGACGCTGGAGCCGAGTCTTTTATGTCCTGCAGAAGATTTTGTTTGTTTTTTACAGATTTCTCTCTGGTTCTGCTAACTGAACCCATTAAGACCCGAGACGGTTCTGAACATCAGCGCAGACACGTTTACGGGTCCTGATTAAGTATCTGCCATTAGCATAAGCACCAGTAGACGGTGCGTGGTGAAAAGCGAAGGTAATGAGTATTTTCCTCCCATTTAAATGTTACTCAACACATTTTGGAAGTCAAATCAAACCTTTGATGTTGTTCAGCTGCTGGTCAGCAGGTATGGAAAGCCAAACAGCACAAAAACAACAACCTTATTCTAAAACATCCTGGGATGAAAACAACGTGACTGTTTAAACCTGTGTTTACGTTAAAGAGCATGACATAGTCTCTCCTCTTCATCGTCCTCCAGTCTGAAGAGGGCTGAGGAGTGAAGTGGTCCTCGTCAGACATCTGTGCATGAGATGCATCGGGGTGCCATCTTTGTTTGTGAAATTAATCAGCTTCAAGCGCGGCAAAATGTTGGTGCAGACTCGATCTGGCCACCATTTGAGCTTCGCTCGAGTTCGGCCAAAGACGACGGCGCTGGAACGAGCTGCTTGGGGCAGCTAGCCAGCTAGCCTTCAGGGCCTCGTGTCCCGGCCTGTGGGGAACTGGCTGCCTCCGCGCCAGATGGTCGCCGCAGACGGAGCCACAAATAGCCCATCGGACGACTGTTGATCTGCACCGACTCCAAGGTCAAAGGTCAGGTGGCAACATCTCGTTAAAACTATCTGGATGCATCTTAAAATCAGTTAACACTGAAAACAAGATTTTCTTATCCTTTCTGTGTCTGCAGAGTTAAATTAGCAGCGTGGAGGATTTTTATCTCTTACTCCTAAATATGACATCATATTATAATTTCTACTTAGCCTACGGTGGACCACAAGTAGCTCGGTGGTGCCCACGACGGAGGAGAGCTGTCCTTCAAAACATGTTTGAGCCAGAATTTTCCAAATTATATTAAATTTGCAGAAGAGAAAGAAAAGTAGAGCTGAAGGTCTTCAGCTTTTATCACTTTCAGAAAAATATAAAAACATGTACAAAGAACTCCTGTTTAAAATCATTTGTCCTGGTGGGAAACATTCATCTTTAAACGTGTAAAGAGAAATCTTTAGGCTGAATAACATTTCTGTGCAGATTAGAATCTGAAATTTCATCACCTGGTACAAATGTTTCTGCTTAAATCGTATTTTTAATCAATGAAAAATTCCAATTTCATTCTGTTTACATCTCTAAAGGTTTAGAGTTTTATTTCCTGCAGAAACACCTGAGGACAAGTGAACAGGTATGTTTTTGGTCTGTGGAAGGGATTCATGTGGAGAACAAGAAGCCAGGATTCAAACCCACAACCTTCTCTCTGCCAGGCAACGGTGCCACCATGCAGCCACGAGAAATAATGAATGATTTACCTGTTTTAAAAAAAAACATTTTTATACTTTTAACCAACTAAAGATCTAAAACAACAGTTTTGTAAACTTTAAGCTGGAGCTGTAACGTTGATCTCGGTGATTGTTGCCTTAGAAACTTGACCAGTTTCATATCCGACACCCTTCTGCTGCCCCCTGCTGGCCTAAAACGGCACTAGAATATTTTGTGGAGCAGGTGGGTGTCCCAGGGGACGCCCATTACCTGCTTTAAGGCTGTTATGCTAGCGGTTAGCATTTTCAGGTTCGCCAATCGTCAATAAAAAGCACAAGAAGAAGAAAACGATGTTTGCTTTTTCTGTTGGCGTAATGGTGGAGCCTAGAAGTAAAGGTAAGAGAGTAGAAGCAAAGAGCTAAAACCAGAGTGAACATTGGCGCGGCCTACGCTAGCTAGAAGGAGCTAAAGGAAGCTACAAAAACATGATAGTGACCTGGCTTTGTTGCTAC